GAAAAGTTCACCCGTCTAAGGACTCACTCCCCCCAATGTTCTGGTTATTGCACAATGCTTCCCTACTGCTGCATGGTACATGGCCTTCAAGTCATTTTCCACTGGTTCTTTTATTTAGTTTGCTCCCCTTCATGAAAAATGCCTGACATTACCCTGTAATTACATGCTATGATAGATTAGTCCTTACTTAATATTCCATTTGGCAATAGAGTCTTCTTTTCTTCAGGAGAAAAACCAGCCCCCCCCCCCTTTTTTTGATTATAGCATTGTCCTGCTTTATTTGATTGTGATTAAAGCAATTGTGGGCAGTGAGGTAATGCCACATTTAGAGATTTTTAAGGATAGTAGCGATGATAGTAAGGTGGTTGGAAAATTTTACAAGGTTTAGGAATAGACAGATAACTGACCTCAGAGTTTGCCACAAATACACTGACAGACAAAAAAGAATAATGGATCTTGACCTAGATGTTATAAGTTAAGTAAGGCAAGAACTGTTAGTAATGTCTATTTCAGAGATTGTACATTTTCAAGACCTCATCCCACAAATAAAATCTATGATAATTATTGCAAATTATCTATTTTATGATAAGTAAATATTGGAACAAAAACATTTCTGAAATAAATGTTTACTGGCTTTTCTCTTTCTTTTATTTCTTATAAACTTGTCCCTATTCCAACAGTCTCTTCATTTTTATGTTTCTTTGTTATTTTCCTCTGCTTAGTGGAAGTAAATAACTATTAATTACAGTTGCCCCGAACAGTATGAGAAACAGAGTTAAACCAGGCTCAGAGAAGAGAAGATTATTTGTCATGTGGAAATAAATGACTTCCAGGCTTGCTGTTAATCAGAAAATTGTTTCCTGTATCCTTCTAATGAGACCTTTGAAAGTCTTTTGAGAAGACAACAAGGTGAAACAAGCCGTCTGCTGTGGGGTGTGTTTCCTCATCAAGCATAAGAGGAAGGAGAGAGAGAGAGAGACAGATATATATATATATATATATATATATATATATATATATATAGAGAGAGAGAGAGAGAGAGAGAGAGAGAGAGAGAGAGAGAGAGAGACATAGAGACAGACAGAAAGGGAGTGGAATATTGCCCTTGGGCATTATTGATTGATTTTCTATGTGTGTGTGTTTTTTAAATTGATTTTTTAGAGAGAGAGAGAGAGAAACATCAATGTGAGAGAGAAACATCAACTGGCTGCCTCCTGCATAACCCCTATTGGGGATCGAGCCTGCAATCTGGGCATGTGCCCTGACCAGGAACCGAACTGGGACCTCTCAGTCCATGGAATGAAGCTGAATCCACTGAGCCACACCAGCTGGGCTGCACATGTGTTTTTAAGTCAACTGTATACTAAACTGCATTATTTTCATCTATTTTTTGGTGACCAGTTAAAAAACATTTTATTTTTAACTAAACTGAGATATTACAAAATTGGTACAATTTCCCTCAACCAGCTTCCACTAATGCTAACATCTAACATAACCAAAGTACAATGACCAGAACCAGGCAATGAACATGTGTACAATGCTGTTACTAATCTAACTCCTTTATTTAAATATCACAAATATTTCTTCCAATGTTCTTTTTTTCTGTTCCAGGATCCTATCCAGGCTTCACCTTGGGTTACTTATTATTATTTTTTTTAGTCTCCTGCAGTATATGAGCTCCTTAATTTTCTCTTGTCTCTCATAAGCTTGGTACTTTAAAGATTATTGATCAATTATTTTTCAGGTGTTCCTTAAACTAGGGTTAAGCTCATTTACAGGAATTTAAACATGCTTTCTAATGCATGACTGAAATAAGCATTCTTGAGTATAAATGGCAGTAGCTGTATTATTTAATTTTTGATATCTTCTGCTTTAAGACATTTTATACTCTGAAATCCTCTCCTATACTTCTTGTCCAGTTACTTTTTCTCTAGGTTTTGAGAGGGTTTACTTTTTCTGGTGATCAGACTACTTGACGCTAAGGCTTCTTAGCTAGTATTCCTGTTCTGATTCCCTTGTTTTTGTTCGCTTTAAATTTTTTGTTGTTTTGTTTTTTGTGCTGGACACACAAAGGGTAGAGATGGAGTGGGAGCATTTGAGACTGTGGCACGTGCCTTTATTTATTTATTTATTTTTTTTATTTTTTAAATCCTCACCTGAGGATATTTTTTCCATTTATCTTCAGATAGAATGGGGTGGGAGGAGAGAGAGTGAGAAACATCGACATGAGAGGGACACATCGACTGGCTGCCTCCCACATTACCCCAACCAGGGCTGGAATTGAAATGCAAAAGAGGTACATGCCCTTCACTAGAATTGAAGCCATGCCTCTTTGGCCCATGGGCTGGTGCTCTAACCACTGAGGAAACTGGCCAGGGCTATTTTTTTTTTTTTTTACAAGCAATTATTTTGCTGTTTTTGATTTCCATGCCTACAAGTAATCTTGGTGTTTGACTTTGAATTTCCATAAATGTGAAATTATTTCATATTGTTGAGAAGGAGATTTGGGGAAGTTGTTTATTAGACATCTGATGTTTCCTATAGACACCTATAATTTTTAAAATAATATCGTATGTTCCCAAACAACTAATCAACAACTTCAAAAAATATCAATAATTGTTCACCTGAGACATTTAAAGCTAACTGAAAACTGTGGCTGAGATCCTGGTGTCTGAAACTAGGCAGAACAGGTACAGTTGTCCCTGTGAGAGCATGGAAGTAAGACACGCAGATTTATGTTTGATGTCCTCATTAGGGCATGTGATTTGAAACTGAACAGACCTCTGAATTGCTAGATGTGTGATCCTGAACAAGTTTACTAACTTTCATTAAGTCTCGTATTTTTTCCTCTCTAAAAATCTCCAGGTTGTTGAAAGAAATAATGCGATGATGTGTTCAAAGCATCTAACAAGAGTGTCTGCCATAGTGGGTATTCAAAAATGTTCTTTAACTTATCCTTTTATTTTTTTTTCTTCCTCAGTTTTTGTTGCTATCATGCGTGATCTGGAGTATTCCTTCTTTTCTACATTTCTGTGTAGGAAATATGGTGTTTTCCCCATTATAACACAAATTTCTCATCACTCTCCTACTCTGGCAAATATTAAGGCACCGATCGTAGTACTCTGAGATCCACAATTCTCAATGCACAGAATCAACTTCAGCTCTCATTGTGAGGTTTCTACTGCATAAAATTTACATTCCGATATCCAGTCGTCGGCTCAAACTGTTGACACTGAATCCTGTTAGGTTCAGCCAGGATTCGTGGTACTTACGTTATTTGTTTTCTCGTGATTCGAATGCTTCATTACGGAACTCTATGACAAATCCAGGAACTTTTATGACTGCCATTCTGCATCATTTCTGCTCTGAGCTCACACTCTTTCTTAGGAAATTTTTTTCTGTAGTTCTTTAAATTCTGTTCTGTTCAGTCAATTCAACTCTACTGAATGCAACTGAAGTCAATTCATATTAATCCAGTTAAGTTTCAGGCATTTTTGTTCCCTCTCACAGAGTAAATTCTCTAGACCAGACAGTGTGCCTGTCACTGAGAAAATAAAGGTGCTAAAGGAGCTAGAATTCTATTAGACAGTGAACTTAAACATAAAGTAACATTGTCATGCTAGTGCGGCAGGATGATGTAATGGTCCCACAGAGGAAGAGTAGCGAATCCGACCTAGGTTTTGAGGCAGTGTCAGAGAGAGTGTAATTTTAGAACTGGTTCTTGTAAAATAAGTTGGATTTTACAAAAATAAAAGGGTGTTGGCAGTTGGCATTCTGATAAAGGCATTACAAACACATGGTCACAGGTTACATATCAGTCAGTGGTTCATAAACATAGACCTTAAAGGTCTAGAGTTTCCCTGAAGACCTCAGAGGCTACCAAAAAGACACTGCCTAAAGGGAAAGAGAGAAAAAAAATACATTTTCAAGACTGAACATGACTGACATAAAGCCAACTATTTTGTATTAAAAACAAACAAATAAGTAACAACAACAAAAACTACTGAACCATAAGTTTCAAAGATCTAGCTGATCTTACCCTACATAAGAGTCCTCTTTCTCTAAAATATCACTCTTATTTAATATATTCATGCTTTATTTTCTTCTTTATCACTTTTATGATTTGCCTTTATATCATAGTCCTGGTTCAATTTGTCTTTCATTTATTGCTTAGCTTGTATTATTCTAGTCATTTTAATCATTCTGGCTTCCTACTGTCCTTCAGCTATCTGCTTACCTCATGTACATGAGCACTTTCAATTATGTAGACTAATTGGATTGAGAAAGCATTGTTGGTATTAAAGAAGGACCTGAATGAGATGGGTTATTATGGAAATTCTGACCTAGAGCAGCTTATAAAGCTCCACATTTTCCATTGTTTGTAATAAACCTACCACATGCCTATTTTATTTTTCTTTTCCTTGGTCTCAAAAAATAAATAAATAAAATAAAAAACCCACCAAAAAACAAAATCATGACTCCATAGAGACTTTAGAGGAAGAACAGGCAGAATTCATCATGTTGTTTTTCTGCTGGATATGAAAGCAAAGGTGATCTTAGAAGCTTCTGGCTGAAGACGAAGAGTGCCTGCCTTTGAGCCTACTTTCCTGAATGGTTGAGTAGTTCTTCCCTGTCCCAACCCAATGGATTCAAAGTGACTCGGTCATAAAGCAGTTCTGTGTTAAGGCATGGAGGTTTGAAGGCTTATTTATTATAACAGCCAAGCATTATAAACCACCAGCTACTACAGACATATGCCTCTTGTGCATTTTTACCTAAGTTCTTTGTTGTAAGGTCCATAAAAAGTCTTGAAACATTTCTAGGAAAACTATGTGGCTGAAGAGACTTAAACAATCACATGGAGCTCTGAATAGAGATGCCATTTGTTTGATTGTTTTATTGGGAATTACCCACAAGCAAACACCAACATGACTGGAATTTAGAAACAGGATTTTTAGATAAAAAATAAGAACAGATATTTAAAGTATAGAATGATGGGCTTGCTTCAAGTATCACATAGACTAAAATTGCTACGATACACAGAAAAGTAACATGGCCCTGTACAAGGATGACACACACATTTGTGAAGTGCACCATATTAAAAATTAAAATGAAAAATATAAAGTAATACATACTGCAACTCCTGGCAGTGTGGCCATTTAGAGAATCAGAAAGGCCATCTTGTAAAATCAGAACATAATCTGAATTAGCTATGGCAAAGTATATATTTTGAAATTAAAAGGAATATAATAATAATTGTATGTATTCACATATTTATCATTTTTCAGTGCTTTTCATTCTTTCTGGCAGATCTGTTTCTGTCAATATTTTGCTTCAGCCCAAAACACTTCCTTAATTATATCTTGTAGTACAGAACTAATTATATCTTGTAGGCAGCAAATTCTCTTATTTAATATCTGAAAATGTATTTTATCTTAATCTTTGAAGGATATTTTGCTATGTATAGAATTCTATATTGACAGGTGTTTTTGTTTTATTTTATTTTTTAATCTTTCACTCTTCAAAGATTTTTGGTCTTCATTGTTTCAATTATGATCTAATTATTTACATCATTGTTCACCTATTATTATGTGTTTCTGGGAACTTTGAATACCTTCTTTTGATCTTTGTTTCATCAACTTCAGGATAATCTGTCCAGGTATGTTTTTCATTTGTGAACTTGAAATTTGGTGGACACTTTAAGTCCGTAAATCTATGTCTCTCCCGAAATTTGGAAATGTGGAGCCATTATTACTTTGCTTTTTTTTTTTCTTGCCCATTGTTTCACTTTTGTATTTTGGGAATATTTGCTATTATTCTGTAAGTCCCCAAGACTATTCATTTAGGAAAAAGTTTTTTTGTCCACCTTTCTTTCTGATGCCTTCGTTTGTTGAACAGCTAGAACGTTCTGTACAATGTTGAATAAAGTGGTCAAAGTGAATATCTTTGTCTTTTTCCTTATAACAGAGGGAGAATTATGTCATTTGTCATTAAACATGCTGTTAGCTGTAGGTTTTTCATATATTTTTAAATCAAATTGTGGGTATTACTTTCCATTCCTAATATTCTGTGAGTTTTTATATTTTATAATCAGAATTAATGTTGGATTTTTTTTTCTTTTAATCCTCACCCAATGATATTTTCCCATTGATTTCCAGATAGAATGGAAGAGAGGAAGAGAGACAGAAAGAAAGAGGGAAAGAGAGAAACATCAATGTGAGAGAGACACATCAAATGTTTGCCTCCTGCATAACCCCAACCAGGGCTGAGCATTGAATTGCAACCTAGATACATGCCCTTGACTGGAATTGAACCCACGACTCTTTGGTCTGCAGGCAGATGCTCTAACCACTGAGAAAACTGGCCTGGGCAATGTTGAATTTTTTTAATGATTTTTTGTGTCTATTTCATTGGTTATATATTTTCTTTCTAGTTTGTTAATATGGCAAATTACAGTGATTGATTTCCTAATATTAGGTGGTGACTCATTTCTAATACAAAAATGACTTGATCATGGTATATTAATACTTTTATATATACATATATATTTGATTGCTTAAATCTGCTTATAATTCTTACATCTATATTCATGAGGGATATTAGTCTGTAGTTTACTTTTTAAATAATATCTTTCCATAATTGTTGTCTTTGGCTAATGCGAGCATCATAGAATGAGTTGGGAAAAATAACCTCTTAAGTTTTTCAGACTGTGTGTAATGATAGTATTTCTTCCTTCAATGTTTGGCTACTTGGAAAGACAACTACATTGGAACTTGCTTTGTGGAAAGAATTTTAAATACAAAATAAATTTCTTTAAAAGATCTAGGTCAATTTATGTTATCTATTTCTTTCTTTGTAGCTTATTTTATAGAATGTATGCATTTCATTTTAGATGCCAAATTCATAGGCATAAAGTTGTTCAAAATATTTTTATTATCCTTTTAAACCGATAGGCTTTATAGTGACAACACTGCTTTCATTTCTATTATTTGTAATTTACCTATTTTCTTTTTCTCCTAATCTATATTACTAGAGATCTATTGATTTTTCTGAAAGAAATAGCTTTTTTATTGTCACTACTTTTTTTTCTCTTTTACATTACATTGATGTCTGCTCTGATGTTTACTGTTTCACTTTTCCACTTACTTTGTATTTAATTTGTTTTATTTTTCCTAGTTCCTTAAGGTAGAAGTGAAAATCATTGATTCAAGATCTTTCAAGTCTTCATCGACCTTTCATCCTGATGAGGGAACCAGACAATTAACAATAAACACAATCCATTATATGTATGTTACATAAAATGTCAGAAGGTTAGAAATGCTATGGACAAAAGTAAACAACATGGAGGATGTGTAGAATTGCTTGGAAGCGTGGTCTTTGGGGTGGAGGTTGCAGTTTTAAGCGGGGTGTTCAGTCTAGGCATCGTTAAAAGGTGGCATTTAGGAAGACTTGAAGGAGGTTAGAAAGTTGAAGATTTGAGCCTGCCTATTTCTGAAGAAAAACTTCGCAGGAAGAGAGAGAAACCAATGCAAAGGCTTTAACATGACACATCACAGGAATGAATGAGTAACTGAACGGAGGTCAATATGGCTGGAGAGGGAGAAAGGAATGAGAATAGGAGAAGAGGTTAGAGGGGTAAGGGGACATGTCCTCCCACAGCATAGAACATGTATTTTGCCTATTAATAGTATTCTAACTGCTCCCATTATAGTAATTTTTGGGATAGACTCTTGAAGGATATAATCATCTGTAGAGCTGGTATTTCAATCCAAAAGGAAAGAAAAATGGTATGCATGTGCAAAATTGGAACACAGAAAGAAAAATGCCATATATCCCTATTGACAGTAACCACAATGTGGTTATTATTTTACCACTCACCCCATTTCCCCTCATTTTTACTATCTATTCTGACTGAACCATGACCCTCATGTGGCATATTTAAATCTCAGCTTTCTAGGGTAAACAATCAATTTCTTCAATAAAAAGGAAAAAAAAAATTAAATTTGCCCAGATTCCGCTGAAATATACATGGGTTTTTTTAATAGATGAAATGGCAAAGTTAGTACTTGGAGAAATGCATGAATAGTTTCTTTTCAAGAATTTCATGAATGTTTTTGAAGCAATAAATCGTGGTGTCTGAAATAATATAAAAAATTTTTATCACTACCTTTTTACAAATAGATAACACATTTAAAAATAATTTTATGGAGCACCTGAGCATTGTCTTTCTCATATTTTCTCCTGGTATATTGACATTTTTCGAAGTTTTGGTTATTACCACATACGTTGCTACATAAAGCAGGTCTTTTAATTATGGCCGGATGACGGAGAATTCCATTTGACTTCTTGCCTCTAAAAACGGCATGTCCCTTTTAGTTATTATTCATATATATGCCTCTTTCCATTCTTAAAGTGTCTTATAAAGTCACTTGTCACTGGAGGAAAAACAACCATGAAAACAGATACAAAAATAAACACAAAAGCAAACCACCCTTTTCTAATTTTTTATAGACTCAATGCTTCAGGTGTGGTCTTCCACAGGTGGTCTTTTAAACCAATAGTTTAGTCATACATACAGAAACATTTACATGAGAAAGAAGACTCTCTGTACATCAAGGGGAACATCTTCTATTCATCCATGTTCCAGTGCTCCTTCCTTCCTCACTTCTACCTGTAATTTCCAGGCAGGTGAGAAAATATGGAAGTAACTTGCTAAAATGAGGGCTTTTAATTCAAAGGCATATAACTAGTATCCCGAGGGTGTTCATCAAGCACTAACAGCAACTTGATTACTTGATTCTAAGACATTTATAAATATCTGTCTTAGATAATGAGAGTGAATGTTCTGACCTTTTAAAGCACACCACAGCTTTGAAACAATTATTCACAACTTCTAAAAGCTGAATTTTCCGGCATTCAAGTATGTGATGAAGAGGAGCACAATTGGTCAATGCTCTGCAAGAACGTCACTACCCAACACAGTAATGGAGCAAATTACTGCACAGTTGCGGTAGGAGACCTCTGGTCTATGAACGTCTTACGTTAGTCACCTTGAGTAAAGACAGAATGTGACCTTTTGTATTTTTTTTCTAAACAATGCCCAGTGTCACAGGATAAGGTGCACAATCTTTTTGGTTCCTCTGGTGCTGTCTAATTGTTGGAGGACATTTTATCTACTCTTCATTCTCCATCATGTCATCTTTTTGAGCATCATCTTCAACTTCATTTCATTCAGAAGTGATGTGAGCCATTCTGATATAACCATATTGGAATTGTCATTTTCCCCCCATCCCTGTCTTCGCATCCCCAGTTCTTTCTAGTTCCTGGTTGCAAGCTTGACATGCTTCATCTGATATTGAACATAGCAATTTCTGTGATAATGTTTTATCTACCCTCTTCTCAAAGCTCGCTCAATGTCAAATGTAGGCTAGGACACAATATGAATCCTAGTTAACGGCTAATTCTTTTTATTTATTTTTTGAATGACTCCTTTCAAGGATACATAGTGGCTAGCATATTTAGAATTGTATGCTTTCCTTTTTCTGAAACTACATACTGTCTTTCTTAACTCATTTTCCCTCTGGATATATACATGGTGACAAAAATTATATTTAAATCACTTGCTTATTGAAGTAGTTACTGCAATTTTCATGCTCTTAATGTGAAGGCATTTTAGGTGTGGTGTATTTAAGGGCTTGAAAGCAGCAACAACACACTCTGATGTCTCCACTGTCCGTCTCTGCCTCAAAATTTGAAAACCATCTTTCTTCTTATGTAGAAGGACAAAGAGGCAGGGTCACCTGCCTGTGCCTTCTGCTTAAATTGAAGTGGGACGTCTTTTCCTTTTTCCTCTGAAGATAAGTGCTATTTTCACCACAGAGAGGGAAAAAAGGTTTTACTGTATATTTCTATAATGGAACTAAAAGAGTGCAGCTGCCTGTCTGAATTGGAAGGTCTAATTAGATTCCACTTTAATGTAAGATCTTGGCTTGTAGGTACTTAACCACTAAAAGAAAGAAAGCTTTAAAAGAGGAAGCTATAAAATGTTTAAATGTAAGCATCTTAAGTATATAACTAGGAAATGAAAATACAATGCACCATAT